ATCCAAGAGAGATGGCTATATTTTAGTGGCGGTTCTGAATTTCATCCCCATTCCATTGTAATGGTTTATAAATTCTTTTTCTCCCAGATATCTCGCCTTGGAGGGGCTTTGTTTAATGTCCAATTCTGAGTTCTCAGCTGATGCTGTAAGGAAGCACCAAGAGACAGTTGTTGGAGCACTTAAGGTGAACTTGCCTGTTGTTCTCAGTCTTCTTGGTCTGCTTGTTGTCTTTACTTTGCACTGGAGTGTACACTAACTAAGGATGCCCAGATTGTCAAAACTTAACCCCAGTTTCTGTAGCTTGAAGCGCTTGTAGTAGGAGTACGTCATCCTTGGATGGGACGCCAGTCCATGAGACTGTTACTCCAGCAATTTGTTGCTGGTACCCATTTTATACACTTGGGTGAAGAAAGACAAAGTGGAGCAAAGAGCCTTGCTTAGGAAACATAAGCAAGGGTTGAACCCAGATCTACATGTTTTAAGATCTGAAGTTTGATGTGTTCATTGCTTAATCACCACTTCTCCGCTATTTTCTCACGAGATTTGTCATTTTTGTTCTTTTCCAGACTGAGCGGGATGTCAGCGTTCGTCAGAGGGCTGTTGATCTTCTTTATGCCATGTGTGACAAGAACAATGCTGAGGAAATCGTGTCAGAAATGTTGACTTACCTGGAGACAGCTGATTATTCCATCAAGGAGGAAATGGTAATTTTGCATTTCTTTAATTGGTTGTACCCTTCAGAACTGATCTTTACCAGTGTACAGTTATGAAACCAATCTCCAAGAAATGAGTGTTCAATTTAGACCACTAAGTGACAACAAGGCTTGTTGTTGATCTTTACCATTCTCCTGTTCTGTTAACTCATGAGGGTAAACATGTGCAAAACCAATCGCGGGGAAAACATTCCTTCATTTTTAAGTCACCCCGGGGGCCTGGGTCGCGTTTGCAGTCTCCAAAAAAATTTGTTCGGCCCTTTGGGCCTCAGTTTGGTCTAAAAATAGGGGGAGGGGGACCTCCCCTGGATCCACCACTGATTTCTAAATTTCAAAAGGCCTCAAAGAACAATAATAACCTTCTGTCCATAAACATAAAAAAATATTGTTTTGCACTTGCCCTCGTTTTTCAAGGATAAGCTCAGGTGTAGGAGTTCAGAAGTTAAGTAAAGTACACACACAATTATATGTAGTGTATGTTTGTATTTCACTATTGCAGTTGAGCACTTTTCTCCAAATGCCGATCATCATATATTTTTTATAGGTATTGAAAGTAGCAATTCTTGCTGAAAAGTTTGCAACTGACTACTCCTGGTACATGGATACTATCCTTACCCTCATCCGGATTGCTGGAGATTATGTCAGCGAAGAGGTAAGGCGCTTTGACTATTGAAATAACAAAAAGAGACTAGGATAGTGCTTTTCATTTTAAACTTGATTTCTCTTTCAAAACAGTTTTAATTTATGGTCCTTTTTGTGAGCTGTGAAGGTGTTAAATCATTTTGAAAATCTTCACAGGTTTGGTACCGTGTGATCCAGATTGTCATTAACAGGGATGACATTCAGGGTTATGCTGCTAAGACGGTATTTGAGGCTCTGCAGTCACCTTCATGCCATGAGAACATGGTTAGAGTTGGTGGCTATATCTTGGGAGAATTTGGAAACCTTATCGCAGGAGATCCCCGCTCAAGGTATGGTTACTTTTTCCAGACTTCATTCAGATTGCTTATGGAACAAACTCTAATACTTCACTGAACAAGTTAACTACAGCTGTATGCCAAAACGTTTAGGGTAAATAGTGATTGCCTCGAGCACTCCAGGCAATTGTTAGGATTAGAGCATAGCTTAAAATCCTTTGATAAATTCAGTTAAATTGTTCCATGAATATTTTTAAAATAAAGCAAGGTAGGCTTTTCCTAGCCTGCACATATACAGTGTAACTTTACCAAAGTTACCATTAGCATGTAAGGGTGGTATCACTTGGAGGCCTTCTGGTTTGTTTAAAAAGTTGTTATAATATGCATCTGGTCTGGCATGAGAAAAATGATGAGGGGTATCTACTTTATGAGCTTTTCTTTTTTCCTCCAGTGAAAGAGACTTTCACTGATGTTGTTTTTTTTGTTGTATATGAACAGGGCTGTGCTCTAGCAGAACCTGGTGTCCCTGGCGTCTATTTTTCTCTCTCCGGTGACTAAAAAATCTCAGTTTTTTTCATACAAATCACATGCTGGGCACGCTACAAGTAAATTTCACAGGGTTCAGAACACTAAACTCCCTTCAGTTTTTCTTAGAGAACATGCAACCTTGCAAGAAGATCATTCAAGTGATTTTACCTGCAAGACGTTCCTTGGAGACATTCTGCACATTTATGACACAAAAATTCTTTGATGGTGATCTGTTCTACTCTTTCTTTTTGTCAGCCCAATGGTTCAATTCCAGCTGCTTCACAGCAAGTTCCCATTGTGCTCTTCATCAACAAGAGGCTTGCTCATGTCAACATACATCAAATTCATTAACCTGTTCCCAGAAATCAAAGGACACATCCAAGAGGTAAGAGCAACTTCTCCTGATCAGCTTCTTATCCGATATCTCAGGTTTTAGTTCGTTGAGCCTGTAGAATGTACGTCTTTCACTCCTGATACATGGTGGCTTAAAAAATATTCACAAAAAGCTCGTATTTCTTTTTCTTAAATCCTAAAATGTAAAAAGTAGTGTGTGGAAGTTCTGCTCGAGGGGGTTGAAAGCTGTGCTTTAGCAATGCCTAGTGGCCCCTAATCCTGGGTGACCAGAAAATTGAAGTTTTTTTCACGGAAATCATATGCTGAGCACCCTGGATTTCACAGGTTCAGAGTGCACTGGGCTGTTTTTTTCAATGTTTTCTGTACTATTTAGTTCCTTTTTACGTGTAGGTAACATGATAAAAATTTTGTAATGGTGGAAGAACAAGCAAGCAAAAAAAGAACTTCTATGTGTATGTTTTATTTCTTGCCTTCAGATTTTACGAAGTGACTCCAACCTTAAAAATTCAGATGCTGAAATTCAACAGAGAGCACTTGAGTATCTGAAACTTAGCACTGTTGCATCTCCAGATGTTCTGGTAAGGTTTCATGCTCAGTACGTCTTGTTAACAGATTACTTTTGCCTTCTATCCACCCCAGATCTTTGAACAAGTTATGCTACAAGGGACTAAATCCTGGGGTGGGTGGCGAGGGGGGGGTTGGGGGTGCACTTGCTATGTTATGACCTATACAGGGAAGGCTTCAGGTATATTAAAGTGTAGGGAATTCAGGAGTTGAAGTATATATGACAGGGTAGTAAAGAGGTACATGTAACTTTTCTGTCTATCAAAGTGTAAGGGGTTGCACCTCAGGTGAAACCTCCCCATATGATATAAAACTCTTAGAGTATCCACCTCTGCCTCCCCCCCTCCAGACAAAATCTTTGGTAAGCAGTAGTCTTAGAGAAAGGTAATTTACCTTAGTGTTTGTAAAAAGGCAATTATCAGACTCTTGCCTTGTGAAATGATCGGACACAGATGACGGTAAAAAGAAGAAAACCAATGTGCACGTGGTTCAGTCCCTTCAACTTTTTTTTTTACTCAGGCCACAGTTCTTGAAGAAATGCCACCTTTCCCAGAACGCGAGTCATCCATCTTAGCCAAGCTAAAAAAGAAGAAGAAGGAAAAGGCTGGAATTTTGGACAAGGAAGAGAAGGCTGAACCACCAGAGAAACCAACTGCAAATGGACAGATTCATGTTGCCAATGAGGTAAAGTATTTGCTGCGCATTTTCTTGCTTCCTTGACACAATAATATCTTTCATGTATAAAATGTTTTGTTAATCGCTTGTCTGGTAACAGGTTGATTCACCCGAAAGTCAATTTGCCCAATGTTGTTTAATGTAAGTCGATTTGCCGGAATCCAACTAAATAGTTATGGAGCATTGTTTGTCATGGGGCGAATTGTCTTACGTCCAGGCGAAACATCATACTGAAAGAACATGGACCTTAAAACAAGGTTTAAAAGGTCAGCAATCTGTGTGGGTGTTAATGTTGTGCAGTCAGGAAGGCATGGGTCACTCTCTAGTTTCCATAGTGTCACTTGTACAAGACCTTCAATTAGAGCATTTGTAAATAAAGATTCTTGCAATTTTCAGGTTCCTGCTCCCAATCCAGCCCTACAGGCAGGTGAGATATTCACTTGAATAAATTATGCTAAAAAAACTGAACAATTTATAAAGTTGCATTCACTCATCAGGGCCTTCAGGTTAATGAGAAAATTATCCAGGGATTCAACAGTTTCTTGTCGATGGGAGTTGCTTTTAGAATATCGAAAGGTATATATTGAGCACTCCCCCTCCCTCCCCCAGCAAGCTTGGAATGACATTTCTGCTTCACATTTGGCCCCAGATCACATGTATACCAATCTCTAGGAAAGAGTTTGACTGCTCTATGTGATACGAAAGAAGTTCATTTTTTCTCTCATCTAATGTGTATATGTAAATAATGATACACATGATTCCCACCTACCCCTCCCCAACCCAACATTGACACGGCTCACTTGGGGCAAAGTGTTTGGTTACAAGGAGGCAGTTTATATTAAAGAATCTTATACTGATGACCCTGTGTTTTGTAGATCTCATTGGCACTGCACCTTCTCCTGTGGCAAACAACATTGCAGCTGTTGATCCTGGAGCAGGAGGAGGGCTTCTGGTAGATGTGTTTGACATGCCAGCAGTACCTTCAATAGGGGGTGGGGGCACCCCATCTGTCACACCCGGTGCAGAAGAAAATCTCAAGAAGTAAGTTTTGTGTTTCTTATGTTAAAGAAAACTGATAACATCAGGGCTGTCACTAAGAGCTGGGGGCTGGGGATTTCCCTTGGCTACCATGAGCATGACTTCCAGCCATTTTTGTAGGAAACAAAGGATAACGAGACCAAAAAAACTCCCTGGCTATTCAGGTCCGTTCCTTACCTTCTAATTACAAATACCTGTCAACATGAAATCTTACTGACAGCCCTGTAATATGTAAACTGTGTTGCAGACACTCTAAACCTTAGACAATACATGAGCCAGCTGCATCCAGGCTATGTAATATGTAGCAGTTATTGGATAATGCCGAGTAGTATTTGAAGGATTATGAGATCTTCAAAATTTTTCATATCATACAAAACCTGAATCCAAGTACCCCTCTGTGTTAAGTTCCAGTCTCCAAAACATTTGCCTGTCATCAGCAGTTTCAGGATGTGATGTCAGGATGGTAATTCTTGCAGAAGCTCATCATGTAGTACTCGGCATCCCTCGCTTAGTATTTTCATCTTTATTTGCTGCGTTTTTGAACCAATAATTTGGCTATTTTGTCTTTGCATAACATGGAAAGTCTTCCACCTTTTTACTGCCAAAACTGCCGAATGACTTAGCTGCTTTTTTTCATGATATCTAGCCCTGTACATCCCTTTTTCACTAATAAACATGTTTATTGTAAATTAACAGCAAACTTCTTCCAAATTTGGTCAGTGCTACAATCAGTGACAAACTTGTTGAGACATTGTACTCAAAAGTTATAGGGTAACTTCAGAGAATAAAAGTATCCACACCCCTTCCCTGTCCTCTCCATTTAAAGATAGGGTGTGTGTTGTTTACTGTAGGTAGCTCAGACAGCGACACAACATTGCATAGAGGGGATGGGGGAGGAAAAGCTATATTTCCCTCTTTTGAATTCAGTAAAACGTAAAAA